AAATTTCTTATGTATTGTGGAATAGCTTTTCTGTGGCATTAACTACTTTTAAAACAATGCAAATAAGGACTTCCGGTCAAGATGTCAGCGTAGGTAAATGCGGTATCGCGTCCTCCCACAACCACATCAAAATTACAACTAAACTACAGAACAACCATCATTCAAAACCGCCTGAAATCAAGCTGAATGGAAGTCCTACAACTACGGAATTAAAGCAGCAGCCACATCCAGACTGGTAGGAGGGGCGGAGGCGACTGGCTGGTCCCACACACACTTGTGGCGGATAAAAATCAGGAGGATACCTGGGCTGGGAAGGTCCTCCCTGAGGACTGAGGGGTCCCCGTCCCACACCAGGTGCCCCGCTCAGGGTTCCAGTGCCAGGAAGAGAATCCCCATAACTTCTGGCTGGAAAAACCAGCGGGAACTGAGGCTCAGGGAGATTGCAGCTGCTGGAGCGCCAGGCAGCTCCTTAAAGGGCCCGCGCATGGACTTATCGGACTCTCTCCCTCTAAGCTTGGAGGGGAGGCAGCTCGAGGGGCACCAAAGACATACAGGGAAGAACTGAGCTGTTTGGCAATGGAACGAGGACTGGAGAGGGGTCTGTCTCCTGGACAGACATGCTCTCAGAGGCCTTTGCTCCTTTGGTGAGCCCTTCCCTGGGGCGGCAGACAGTCGCCATATCTGGGACTCCAGCAACCTGGCTCACACTGGTAGCCCCGCCCTGCTGACTCCCTGAGGGCCCCCCTGCCCCACCCAACTTTCAGGCCCACCCAAGCTGTTGCCACTTGCTTAACCATAGGATTGGCCTGTCTTGGATCCTGCTTCAGGTTTTTCCTAAATTCTTTCAAACAAGCAGCATCTGGTCTCAGATAGCCCCATACCGCTCGTTAAGTAATACATAGAAACAAACACAGGGAGGCAGCCAAAATGAGGAGACAAAGAAACAGGTCCCAAATGAAAGAACAGAGCAAAACCCCAAGAAAAGAACTAAGCGAAATGGAGATAAACAACCTAACAGATGCTGAGTTCAAAATACTGCTTATAAGGATGCTCAATGAACTTAGTGAGAACCTCAGTGAACTTAGTGAGGGCCTCAAGAGCATAAAAAAGGACCAGTCACAAATGATGGATGCACAGTCAGAAAGGAGGCATTAACTGAAATAAAGAATAATTTACACAGATTCAGTAGTAGAGTACGTAAATCCAAGAAGCAAACCATCCATTTGGAATATAAGGAAGCAAAAAACGCCCAATCAGAACAGCAAAAAGAGAAAAGAATCCAAAAAAATGAGGAGATTGTAAAGAGCCTCTGGGACAACTTCAAGGGTGCCAACACTCGCATCTTGGGGTGCCAGAAGGAGAAGAGTGAGAACAAGAAATTGAAAACCTGTTTGAAACAATAATGGCAGAAAACTTTCCTAACTTGGCGAAGGAAACAGACATACAAGTCCAGGAAGCACACAGAGTCCCAAACAAGATGAACCCCAAGAGGCCCACACCAAGACACATCATCATCAAAATGCAAAAGGTTCAAGACAAAGAGAGAATCTTTTTTTTTTTAAATTAATTTATTTATTTTTTTGTTACAGATATTTCACCTTTTTTACCCCATTGGCACCCCCCTCCCCACCCCACCCCACCCCTGCCCCATCCCCGGCTTAGTTGTCCATGTCCATTGGTCATGCATACATGCATATAAGTTCTGAGGTTTATCTCTTCCCACCCCCCCACCCCCTCTTCTGAGGGATGTCAGTCTGTGCCCCACTTCCATGTTTCTGGGTCTACCGTATTCCTCAGACTGTTATGTTCATTATATTCCACAAATAAGTGAGATCATGTGGTATTTGTCTTTTTCTGCTTGGCTTCTTTCACTTAGGATAATACTTTCCAGGTCCCTGCATGTCGTCTCAAAGGGTAAGAGATCTTTCTTTCTTACAGCTGCATAATACTCCATTGTGTATATGTACCACTGCTTTTGTATCCATTCGTCTACTGATGGACACTTGGGCTGTTTCCAGATCTTAGCTACTGTAAATAGTGCTGCTATGAACATGGGGTACATATATTCTTCCTGATTGGTGTTTCAGGCTTCTTAGGGTATATTCCTGGAAGTGGGATCACTGGGTCAAATGGAAGTTCAATTTTTAATTTTTTGAGGTAACACCATATTGTTTTCCATAGTGGCTGCACCAGTCTGCATTCCCACCAGCAGTGTATTAGAGTCCTCTCTTTTCCACACCCTCGCCAACACTTGTTTGATGATTTGTCGATGGCGGCCATTCTGACAGGTGTGAGGTGATACCTCATTGTTGTTTTAATTTGCATCTCTCTGATGATTAGTGATGTTGAGCATTTCTTCATATGTCCAAAGAGAGAATCTTAAAAGCAGCAAGAGAAAGGCAGCTAGTTACCTACAAGGGAGTTCCCATAAGGCTGTCAGCTGATTTCTCAAAAGAAACTTTGCAGCCAGAAAGGAGGGGCAAGAAATATTCAGAGTGATGAAAAGCAGGAACCTACAACCAAGATTACTCTATCCTGCAAAGCTGTCATTTAGAATCGATGGCCATATAAAGTTTCCCAGACAAGAAAAAAATTAAAGGAGTTCATCACCACCAAACTGTTATTATATAAAATGATAAAGGGTCTTTTTGAAGAAAAAGATAAAATATATGAACAAACAAAATGGCAATGAATACATATCTATCAACAATGGAATCTACAAACAAAATGAACAGGCAGAACTAGAAACATTCTCATAGATACAGAGAACATTTTGTTGGTTGCCAGATGGGAGGGGGGTTGGAGGAATGGGTGGAAAAGGTGAAGGGATTAAGAAGTACAAATTCATTGCTAGACTGACAAACCTCAAAGGGAAAGGGGTTGTGGGGTGGGAAGAAATAAACCAAAGAACTTACATGCATAACAAATGGACACAGACAATAGTGTGGGAAAAGGCGGGAGGGGGGCAGGAGTGGGGATGAGGGGGTCAGTGGGGGAAAATGAGGAACATCTGTAATACATTCTACATTCAACAATAAAGATTTAAAAATTTTAAAAAGCAATGCAAATAACCAATTATTTTATTTTTTATTAAATTTATTGGGTGACATATGTTGATAAGATCATACAGGTTCCAAGTGCACATTTCTATGATACATCATCTGTATATTGCATTGTGTGCCAACCACCCAAAGTCAAATCATCTTCCATCACCATATATTTGGTCCCCTTTACCCTTTACTACTCCCCATTCCCTTCCCTCTGGCAACCACTTTACTTTTGCCTGTGCCTATGAGTTTCAGTTTTATATCTCACATGAAAGTGAAATCATATGGTTCTTAGCTTTTTCTGACCGACTTATTTCGCTTAGCATAAGATTCTCAAGGTCTATCCATGTTATTTTGCTTTAAATTAAACTATCTAGAAATTTCCTACCATTGTCCCAATAATGTAAAATAAAATTTAAATAAATCATATAGGCCTGGCAGGTGTGGCTCAGTGGTTGAACTTCAACCCATGCACCAAGAGGTTGCCAGTTTGATTCCCAATCAGGGCACATGCTCAGGTTGTGGGCCAGTCCCCAGTGGGGGGCATGCAGGAGGCAGCAAATCAATGTTCTCGTTCATTGATGTTTCTATCTCTCCCTCTCTAAAATCATTAAAGAAAAGAAAAAAAATCATATACTTAAATGTCATATAGTTATGACATATACATTTATATTACAAATGATATACTTAAATTGTTTAAGTATACATTCTTCTTCTTCTTCCTTTTTTTTTTTGGTACATGCCCCTAGTGGGAACCAAACCTGGGACTCTCTGATCCACAGGCCAATGCTCCAACCACTGAGCCAAACCTGCCAGGGCTAAGTATACATTCTTAAATTAACTTAAATATAAATTAGCAAGATAAATCTATTAACATTTCAGTGCTTCACATCTTAAATTTGTGCAATACTCCATTGAAAGCAACAGAATTGTGGTTCAGTTCTTAGGTGAAATTTGCTGCAACTTCTGAGATATTCATATAATTTTTAAACCCACTTGTTTTGAGGTGAGACAAACAGTAAATCTGAAAGACTGGATCAAGTTTCTATCTACCATGAAGATCACCTATAAAAATTTAGTTTAAAGCATTGATTTGTTAAAAAATATAACATTAGCATGAAATTTGGGTAACTGTATTCCCTGGAAACTTATGAAATAGAGTTCTTCCTTCCAAAGGAGAAAAATTGTTTTGTTTTTTTAGAAACTTCACTCGGGATGTATCTTTAAAAAGTCAAATTTCACATGTCTGGGAAATGAGGTACTGAAAACCAAAACCAAAAAAACCAAAAAATATTAGCTAAAAAGTACTTAACTTACAAATTACAAAAATAGAAGATGTCAATGAAATGTATTCATACAGGACACACCAATCATACATAACTTTTTTATGATATAAAATATACTTATAGAACTTTAGTATCAGCAAAAAATAATTATATAGTATTGGAGTGGGGGAAATCTGGTTATTCAGTCTTGACTTTGAGTTCTATGTGTAAATAGAAATTTATTAAGAACTATTTTTGGTATAAAAGGTAATCAGATCCAAAAGCGTTTAGGAATAACCTGAGATATTAGAAAAGAGATGTATACAATCAAAACGGACTCCTTAAATGGCATTAATAATTAAGTGCATTAAATTACATTAAATATAATTAAATTGCATTAAAATATTAGAATAGAAATAGTAACAATTATAAAATGCCATTTTGCCACTGTTATTGATATTTACCAAAGTACTGAAGAAGTGAAAATATTAGAGAAGTAATATTTTCAGGCTAGAATGGGGAAAAATAAGGTTTGGATAAAATGTAGAGTACTTATTGATAATTAAGCAACAAGTGGGTCTATGGAATATTAATTCTTCCAAATGGAGCACATGACTGCAGGTAAATAGAGTATTTTATCAGCAGGCAATTTAAGGAAAAATACTGTCACTTTCAGGGTATCCTTGACTTCTCATTTCTGTGGGGGCCTTTCAGCTGGGTTGGCCTCCTTTCGGTGAAGGAAGGTGAAAGCTGACGTCAGTGTGCCATCGCCACTCTGTTGTGAATAGCAAAGGAAGATGGCCCACAGAAAACCATAGAGTCCAGTGTAAGCTGTTCTCCACTGAATAGGAACAAGGCTAAAGTTGGTCAGCTGTAACAGAAAGAGAGAGTATGTTAGGACTGAATAAACCAAAGCCAGGAGTTAGCATTCTGAGTGGTTTAAAACTCATCTGTACAGGGAGCATTTGAGATCTTGCTACCGGCCATATGTCGTCCATTTGGCTCAAATAAACTCTTATAAAAATTAAAACTCACCTGTACAAACGGCCAGTACATCAGACCAGTCTGGAATTTAAAAAGAAACACAACTTTATTAGAATGACTTTTAATCACACAAAACAATCCCACAGTTCATTCTATAAAAGATTAAGAAATACCAGGCAAATAGAATGCGGAGGTGGTATTATATTTCAGACCAAGCCGATTAAATTAGACTACTTAAGTTCTCTTGAGTAGAAGAGGGTGGGGAGTTGTAGAAAAAGCTGTAAGGTACAGGACATTTATATTAGTTATATTCACAGATCCAAAATGAAAAGTCTACCAGAATCAGTATCAATTCTCATGGACAACCATTTTCAAAATAACAACATATATTCATATATTGTAATTTTTCTGTTAGCCCAAGCAAATGATACAGGAATATATTTATAAAAGGATCATCAATAAAATTTTAAAACTATACCAAACCATTCTTTTTTTTTTTTTTTATCCTCACCCGAGGATATTTTTCCATTTTTTGTACAGATAGAGTGGGAGGGAGAGAGAGGAAGGGAGAGAGAGAGAGAAACATCGACGTGAAGGGACACATCGAGTGGCTGCCACCCGCACAACCAACCAGGGCCGGGGACAAACTGCAACCGAAGTACGTGCCCTTAGCGGGAACCAAACCCGGGTCTCTCCGGACCGCAGGCCGACGCTCTAACCGCTGAGCCAAACTGGCGAGGGCCCAAACCATTCTTTATAGAAAGATTTGCTAATAATATATTTTACTATTTCATGCTATCGAATAAGTTTAGCTGACATTTTTGTTTTTATAAAATATTTGAACATGGATTTATTTTAACAGGCTTTAACCTGTATATTCTGATAGGGAAGAAAAGGTCATCATTATAAATTGTTTTCAAAGATAAAGGTCTCAGGATGTAAATTATATCTTTTAAAACCCCAAAAAGCTACAGGTTTTTAAAATAGTCCTTAAATGTAGTATTACACTAGTAATATAAAGGTGGTATAATTTTTTATTTACTAATTTTTATTTCCTAACATTCCTACAATAAACTATTGCAACAAAAGCTATTTCAAATATACACTCATTTAAGAATTCACTACTTTAGCTCTGGCTGGTGTGGCTCCGCTGGTTACCGGTTCCATTCCTGGTCAGGGCACATACCCAGACTGTGGGTTTGATTCCCAGTTAGGGTGCATTCAGGAGGTGGGGGTGGGGGGGGGCAAGCGATTGATGTTTCTCTCTCCCTCTCCCTTCCTCTCTGAAAATCAATAAAACACATTTTTTTAAAAAAGAATTTACTACTTTAGCAAAAAGGACCAGAACTATAAACTTATCCAAACATGATGTTACTTCTTATGGCAATTTTTTTCTTTCAGAACACACCATCTAGTGAATAGATCCTGGTCTCCCCATTCCCCACTGAAAGGGAAAAAAAATTCTCAAAGAAATTGCAGATTCCAGAGCTGGGGCAAGGCAGGTAAAGATGTAAGATAAGCCAGGGACATCAGGTTATGAAAGTAAGGAAGTTATTTATTTTTAAATGAGAGACCCTGGCCAGGTGGCTCAGTTGGCTGGAGTGTCATCTCATACACCAAAATGTTGAAGGTTCAATTCCTGCTCAGGGCACATACCTATGTTTTGCATTTGATCCCCAGTTGGGGTGTGCCCAGGGGGCAACTAATTGAAGTTTCTCTCTCCCATCAAGGTTTCTCCCTCTCTTAAATAAATTAAAAACAACAACAACAACATATCCTCGAGTGAGGATTTAAAGAAAAAACAGTAATCGGGGACGTCACTAGAACATAGGAGCCAGCTTGAAGGGACTCTCACCAGCCAAATCTGGGACATTTAAGCACCAAAAATAATTACACACAGTAATGAATTGCAAGCCAGTGAAAAAATGAGAATTCCTGAGTCCATACAGATAATAGAGAAATAAGTGAATAAATAACTAGAACAGAAGAGCAGGCATTTGTTTACAGATTGCTGAGTGCCACTTGGTAAAAGTGGGACCGGTGCTAGAGTTGGAAACTCATTTGGCAACCATCACAACACCAACAACTGGTTCAAGCAGAACTGGGGTGCCAAATCTGGGGATGGGTAGAATATTCTGAGGCAGGCAGGATGTTTATTTGCATGGTCTTAAAGTGCCTCCCTAGTTTCAAGGGGGAAAATAGTAAGTCGACAGTGGAAAAATCAGACACCTTGACCAGGTAGTCAAAATTAACGTCTCCAATCAGAGACAGGACATCATGCACCTTGTACTGTGATAACCTTGAAGAGATATATCACCACAGATGGAGTGTTCTAGCCAGGAATGTATCACCTGCATCCAATCATGAGGAAATAACAGACAAACCCCCCAAAATGCAAGTGTGTGTGTGTGTGTGTGTGTGTGTGTGTGTGTGTTTAAAGAGGGGAGGACTGTCAAAAATATCACTGTTGTAATAGATTTAAAGAGGGCTAAGAAAATGTTCCCAATTAATTCGGACTAAACAGACATAAGAACTAAATGCACTACCTTATCCTAGGCTGGATTCTGTACTGGAAGGAAAAGAAATGCTATAAAGGCCATTAGATGGTCAATTGACAAAAATAGAATGTGGATGGTAGATGATATAAAAGGATTATTATCATTGTTAAATTTATTGAAGTTAATAACTATGCTGTGGTTATATGAAAAGATCTTTAGTCTTAGAAAATAGATACTTGAGTATCTAGGGGTAAATAATAATTATGTGTGTAACAAACTCAAATGATTCGGAAAAACATATCAGGTAGAAAGATGGATGGATAGATAGAGCAAGCAAGTAATAAATGGGGCAAAATGTTAATAGGTGAATTTGGGTAAAGGGCATATGGATTTTTCACATAAATGATTTATTACAACTGTAAGATGTTCAACAAGGCAATTCTGATGGTTAGGAGACTTTATAATGGGCACAGGTAGTCAGAAAGGGCTTCCTTAGGAAATGATGTATAAACTGAGGTAGGAAGAAAGGAGAGGTGTGGGAAAGGCTGGAGTGGGAAGAGGCTACGATGTTCCAGGAACTGAAAAAATTCAAGAGTGGATGAAGCAGGGAGTGGAGAGAGGGAGACATGAGATGAGGCTGGGTCAGGAGCCTGTGGGTGGACAGAACCACCTCTCAGAGGACAAGTTCCTGAACCCTGGGGGTAGCCTTTGAGGGGTGTTTTGCACAGTGTCAGAGCAAACAGAGGTGATGTTAACTTTCCATCAAATATTTGAGGGGCAAGTTCTCTTTTTACAGGCAGGTCTCTTCCTCCAGATGGTCAACTTCTGCTAGGCAGGAGTTTAAGTTCATTTCCAAACCCTCAGCTCCAGCAGGGTGTTGGTGTGAGCACATAGTAGATGTTGTCAAAGACTCACATGAGATTCCGCAGAGGAGCCAGGAAAGGGTCAGCTAAGGCCCAAAGGGTCCAGGTCTAGACAAGGTGCACTGTCGGCTCCACATGTCTGTTGATGCCTTGGTAGAACCCCTGGGATAAGCTGTCAAAGGAGGACCAGAGACCCTGGTGATTGGAACTGGGCACCTCCCTCTTCAGGGAGACAGAGCTCCCCCTGTGACCTGGTTCACCATTCAGGCCACCCATATAGGTATTCTTTGAACTGTTCTTGCTACTTTTCTATAAATCTGAAATTATTTCCATATTAAAGCTTTTTAAAATTATAGAAAAGAGAAGAATGTAATATCCGATATATTTCTAAGAGATAATATATCTGAACTGCCATGTTGAAGCTGGTGAAAGGAGACAGAAATTGCATGCCATTGTGGAAAAAGAAAAAAAACAATTACAAAAAACAAAAAGTTCAAGTATTGCTTACATGTAAACAACAAATAAACTAGAAATGCCCTACCCCCTTCATCAAAAGAACTTGGATTGGCCAGGGGGATGATTCCTTAGCAACAAAGAACTAATTCTACTCTCACATACCCCTTGGGTTATGAGAGTCTTTGTGACGGATTGCTTTTGGGTGCTTCTTTTCTTCTGTGCTTTTAGTTTCATTAATCAAGCTTCAACCAAAAGCCTAGTTTTCACCCAGTTTCTTCCATATCTAATATCTCTAGCTCTGAGCTCTCCTCTGTGCCTCTGGAAATCTCTCTTTGAATATCCTACAAACATCTGGAATTCGACATTTCCCATACTGAACTCATCTATCTTGTTCTGTTATTTAAATCAGAAACCTGTAGGTCATCCTGGATGTGTCCTTGCCCATAACCCCAATTTCCAATCACCCAGACCTATCAATTTTACCTCCTAAATATTTCTCAAATCATTCCTATTCCTACTCCTTCATTATGGCTTATATGACCTTGGTTACAATAGGCCCCTTACTCGGTTTCTGTTCCCACTACCATTACTGGAGTTCAAGATCCTTGGCATGGTATTCAACACGCAAAAAAAGATAAGCTGTATGTCTTAATTAAGGGAGGAGAATCTGAAATATCTGCAAATCCCTGTCCAAAGCCCCTTTATTTCACAATTCTGCTTGCTTGATCTGTTTATAAATGTTTGATGTACATATCTCCATAGGATCTATGACATCATGGAGAAACTTGTTCCTTTTTCCAAAATAAACAGAACAAAATCACATTAGAATGTCACCACAGGCCCACAACTTCTGCCCTAAGGGAAGTGATGAGAGTTCTGCATACTCTTCCCCCCTGAAAGAAGAACGAACTGTCCTTGAGGAGAGGAGCTCAGGGAAAGCCTTTGGTTTCAATCCTCCCTGTCATCTGCCTCTAGCCATCAAGTGGGTGATTCTGGTTCTGGGGCTTGGTATCATTCAATAGAAGATGCTAGAAGCAGTGCAGGCAATTGCTAGGTGTGGCTTGCCACTATTCTTGATAGGGAATTAAGTACATGGTAAGTCCTAGGTCAGTCTGTGTATATTATGTAATCCTGAAAATTTACCTCGCTGTGATTAATAGAATCAAACATGCTATAGGCCAGAGATGGAAAGCGTCCTGATTTTGCTAAGTCTTAAGGACCCTGCCCAACAAATCTTCATTGAGTTAATTAATATATATTTGTCAGATTGGATTGTGTATATTTGTACTGAGCAAACAGTACAACAGGTGACTTGCTTCAAGCCTAGACATAATTATCCCTGGGAAATACCATCTTTCTCTGTAAATACCTTTATAATGTTAAGAAGGTTCCTTTTACAGGGTCTTAGCAGAATGCACACCTGGAAACATTGACTCTGAATGTGAGAATGATTCCATTCACATTATATCCTTTTTGCAATAACCTCTTTAGTTCTGAAATTCACTAAATTATAATCACTAGTAAGAGTAAATATAAGAACATCAGAAATCATTGTGAATACTGTCTACAATTCAGAAACAATTGTGTACAGATGCTCTTAAAGTTCTTTTCATTGGATTCATCTATCAAAATAAATGTAACATTTCTCTGTCAAAATATTGTATCCTTGTGCCAACCAACTGTAGCTCTAATTTAAGAATATTTTTATTAAAATGTATTAATGTTCAAAACATATAAAAATATCTTGGATGCATTTTCAAAAGTCTGTCTTACCTTATACGTATTCCAGAATTTCTGTTTCAGGTCCAAAAATATGTCATCCTTTCCCTGGAGAATACTCATACCTATTTGCAAAAACACAAATCAAAGGAATTTTAAAAGATTCAGTAAGAGGAATACTGTGTAACAGTTCAAGTTTCCTATTTCAATATATAAAGTAACCACCATTATCACTCACTAAGTATGTCCCTTCTGACTCAACACAGAAAACAGAATATAATCTCCACCCTAAAACTAGATAAATTTTTAAAGAAATAATAAATATAAAGTGAGAATAAAAGGGTATAACAGTTATAGGGGAGCCCAGCAGGTGTGGCTCAGTGGATTGAGCGTAGTCCCATGCACTAAAGACATTTTGAAAACTCTGATGTTCAACAACCCTGAAAAGAAATTCAGGGAGCAACCCTCCTATTTTAGGAAGGGTGTGAATATGAGTGTTTTAAAATTTTTCTCCTAACTCTGATTAGGAGGAAGGAGAAATAAAATCTATTTAGTCACTTTGCAGGAGATACTTAGAACAGGACTCAGCAGAAAACCCAGCTGGAATATTGGTAATACCTTATTCCACTTAACCAGCACTAATTAAGTGCTAAGCACTTTACATGCATTATTTCATTTGACCCTCCTAATATTTAACCTCCTAACCATCAGCTGAGGATTGCAGTTTCAGAGAAGAAAAAGAGTTCAGCAAGGTTAATAGTGGTCTAAGACCAACCCAGGTGTGGATTCCAAGCCAGATCTCTTAATCACTACTTAGCTCGCCAAGGCACAAAGGATCATCTGAAACGCAATTTCCAAATCGGAAAGGCCTGTGCAGTCCCACCTTCCCCCTTCTTTTTAACGGAGGACAGGGAAACTGGGCCAGAAATCTAAAAACAAAACAAAGAAGCAACTGGGCAGGACTCTGTTTCAGGGGCCTTGGGCCTGAACCATAGGCCTCTTCAAGCACTATTACTGAAGTGCCTTTTCAGTTTCAGACATAACAACACTCACTGAGACTGAGAATATGGCATGAATTGTGCGGTCTTGGGGCAAGTCACTTAAACTCCTTTGAGCCTTGGTTTCCTCATCTGTAACATGGGAAGAGTACCTGCCTCACTGGTTGTTTTTGAGGATTAAATGGGAATCTGATTCCCAAACTCCCAGCCCCCCACTCCCAACCCCTTCACCAGTGTACAAGGCCACTAGTAACAGGTATGATGAACCAGTTTGCAAATCTAGCCAGGAAGTCACAACCTGGAAACAGACACATATCTGATAAATCGGGGGTCCATGGTCTCAGGTTCTCTATTCCCCTGATCTCCCTGACCATCATGACCCCGTGGGCCACGTGGTTGGCTGAGACTTCATAAAGCAGTCCTCTGTGGGGTTTGTGAGGAACGGAACAGACTCTGTCCTCTCACTCACCCCCAAAATAAGATCTATGGGGGAGTGCAGGTTTCTTCAAGGGGTGACTTGAGCACCTCAACCAGGTTTAGAAAGCACTAATAGCCACTGACAAGAAGACCCTCTTGGGGTGATCTGTGATCCCCAATGCCAAGGCCAGGCCCAGGACTCTCAGATTTTCTTAGGTTACAGTGTCCCTCCCCTGCCCACTCCCTTCCAGACTATGCAAATGGAAGACTGCGGAAGTCACAGAGCCCTTTCCATTGTTTTTGGTGTTTAGGTCCCTGAGTAAGGTTCCAAGTCAGGCCCTCAGATCAGGTTTTCTGAGGAGGGAGCTCCCAGGATCCTCACAGACAGGTATAGAGTCCTCTATGTGAAGGGTCCCCTCACATTTTCTGTGGCTTTTGATGTGGGGATGGGACTCCCCAGACCCTTCCCACAGGAAAATCTTACCAAAGCAAGGGAGCGCCCTGAGCGTGAATTTTCTGGGGTCCTATAATGTCTCCATAGTGCCGAGTCCCCTCACGTTTTGTTGGTGTGTTGGAAGAAATACCCACCACTGGAAAGGAGGCCCCGTGGATTTTCCCAGAAGGACAGCTGACCCACAACTCAGTCAGTGGGGTTACAGGTGCTATGACAACGAGCTGTTGTCTCCTCAACACACCGGGGACCTTTTTCAGGGGGAAATGGACCCCAGCTCTGCCTCCTCCCATCCCCACCTCCGTCCCACACCCCCTGACATCTCCAGCCTCTGATTGAGCTCCTGGCCCCCTTGATCCCTGACCCACTGGACATTGGTCTCCTAATCCTTGGTCTCTCCAGTCATCACCCAACTTCTCCTCAGCCCCCCGAATCCCAGATCCACAAACTTCTGGGCCCTTTCACCTTCACCTCCAGCCACTCTCACCTCCCGCCAAGGCTTACACCCTGGGTCCCGGCCCCTGCCTCCATTCCCCCAATCCTGGACTCTGACTGCCCCAACTTCCACCCCCTGGGGCGCCCAGGCATCTCACCGGTGTAGAAGGCCGAGACGGCCACGGGCGCGGCGACCGCTTGGTCGCACAGCACCTTGGCCAGGATGGTGCGCGGCGTGCGGCCTGGCAGCGCGCGCTCCAGCAGACGGAGCCACACGTAGTTGAAGTTCGCGTGAAAGGCCACGGCCACGGTGGCCACGCACCGCGTCTGCCGCCAGTCGGCCGGGCCGCCGCTCAGCCGCTGCTGCAGCGCGTCGCCGGCAGAAAAGAGCGCGCCGTAGAGCATCACGTTCGTGGGCCACGGGTAGCGCTGGGCTGCGCGTGACAGCGCCCGCCACCAGCCCGCCATGCCGCGCGCCTGGCGCCCGCCCGCGACCGCGACGGGTTCCCGGGGCCGCGCCCGCGTTTGATCCCCGCGGGCTCCCGGCGCCTCTTCCCGCCACCTGCACCTGCCTCCTCCAGATGCTCAACAGCGATTGGGCGCCCCGCGCACACCCAATCCTTGCAGCCCAATCCCGTGTCCACTAGCCATTGTGCGGGCTGAGCATTCGAAATACGGCTGTTCTCCAGAATGGATGATCCATTTACAGAAATGTCCAGAACAGAAAAAGCCATGGAGGCCGAAGGTATACTAGTGGTTGTCAGTGGCTGGGCGATGGGGTAGGGACTGGGGAGGGCGCTAGGGGACCGCTAATTGGGTATGGGGTTGTTTGCACAGAAAAGTATTAAATACATTTTAAATGGTGAATTTTATCATATGTGAATTATACACACACCCCCAAATAAAAGTTTAAAAGGAAGGGGAAAAAACACGAATGGATACCAAAACTCAAGTTACCAAGATGGGCAGTGTATTTTAAATGTTTACATGTAAGGAATTCACACTTTCAACATACAGTGCACTAACTTTGGATGCAAATTCAAAATTTTAAATTTGAGGCCTTTCATGAATGTGAAGTGGGGTTCAATGGGCCTACCGCCTGCTCCTCTTCAGAGTTTGTGACTCAATGAATATTGCCCCCCAAAAGATATACTGAGCTCCCAGGCACTGTCCCAGAAGCAAGGAGTCATTGGGGGCCCAAAAAGCAGATATAACCTCTGACCTCCTGGAACTCAGTTTCTCCTTGCTTCTTCCCACCCTTTTTTCTTCCTTCACTGTAGCTTCTAATCCCATTCTCTCTCCTTCTGTCTGTCTTGCCTCTTTGTTAACCCTATTTTACTTAAGTTTTTAATTTTTAACTTTTTATTTTGAAATAATTCCAGACAGAAAAAAAGTTGCAAAAATAGTACAGAGTTCCCATATAATCTTCATGAAAGCTTCCCCAAATATTGACATCTTACATAACCATTGTGGGGGCAGGGCACCATTTCCCTACCCGCAAATATCCTTTGGCTGGTCTAATAGACATGAGACAGATTGCAAGAGAAAATAACCAAATATAATATACACGTATGTATGGGAACCCTGCATACATGAGAGAGTCAGAGACCCCACATGCATGAGAGGTTCAGTGATAGAAAAGGGGATTGAGGTCTATAAGAAACCCTAAGCTAGAGAGGAGACATTGCACCTTGGAGCTTCAGAAGGTCATTGCAGGGAGAGCACATGCTAGGTCATGAGCGATGTGCCCTGCCATACACGTGGATCAAAAGGTTTATCTTATCTGATAATATCTTATTATGGGCAAGGCCCCTAATTCAGGTTCTTCTAGGTAGTCAAGGGAGAAGCAAACGTTTTCTTTAGCTCTAAACAATCCCCACATCACAAAGGTCCACCTTGGGGTGATTCTTTCTGAACCCCCACAGTACAGAGTTCCCATATACTCTTCATCCAAGCTTCCCCAATATTGACATTTTACATAACCACAGTGCAATTATCAAAGAGGGAAAAAGCACTGACGTAATACTATTACCTAACCTACAGACCTTATTCAAATTATTTCCAATTGTTCCACTAAAGTCCTTTTTCCAATCTGGTATCCAAATCTGAATAAATTTTCTTTGCATTGAATTGTTGTATATTGCCTTATTCTCCAATCTGGGCACTAACCAGTTATTTTGTAGACTGTTCCTCCATTTGCCAATCCCATCGTTATGGGCTGAATTGTGTCCCCGCCCTCCCCCCCAAAATCAAATCCATATGTTAAAGCCTTAACCCCCAGGTGACTATTTGGAGATAGGGCCTTTAAAGAGGTGATTGAGTTAAAAATGAGGCCCTGAGGATGGGCCCTAATCCACTCTGACTGGTCTCCTTATAAAAAGCAATTTGGACACACAAAGACACCTGGGCAGGGCATGCACAGAGGAAAGATTATGTGAGGACACAGTGAGAAGGAGGGTAAAGGCCTCAAAAGAAACCAACCCTAGCTGACACCTAGACCTTGGACTTCTAGTTTCCAGAACTGTGAGAAAATAACTTGTGTTTTTAAACCTGTGGTATCTTGTTCTGGCAGCCCTAGCTGACTAATACACTCATTCTCTTCAAATCTTGGGAATCTGCCAATTTCCCTGTTCTTTGACCCTTTCTATATCTATCTCTCCCATCTCCTTGTCCTTGTTACTACCAGTTCCAAGCAAATCTTTCTGTCAGAGTTTTCCTAGCAAGACAGGCTTCTAGTTCACCAAAGCATCTTTGTTTATAACTTATGCTCTCCCTATATTATTTTCCTGTTGCTGCCGCACCACAAACTTAGTGGCTTAAAACAACATGAAGCCCTGGCTGGTTTAGCTCAGCAGTTGGAGTGTTGGCCTGCGGACCAATGAGTCACAGGTTCAATTCCAGTCAAGGGCATGTACCTCGGTTGCATTTGTCGCCGCACTGGTCAGGTTGAGTGGGAGGCAACCAGTCATGTGGCTTTATCACATCAATGTTTCTCTCTGTCTCTCTCTCTCCCTTCTTCCCACTCTATCTGATAATAAGTAGAAAAATATCCTCGTGCGAGGAATAAAAATAAGTAAATAAATAAAACATTAATTCGCCCAGCTGATATGGCTCAGTGGTTGCGCGTCAACCCATGCACCAAGAGATCGCCAGTTCAATTCCCGGTCAGGGCACATGCCCAGGTTGTGGGCCAAATCCCCACTGGGGGGTATGCAGGTTCTCTCTCATTGATGCTTCTATCTCTCTCTCCCTCATCCTTCCTCCCTCTCTAAAATCAATAAAGAAAAAAAAACTATTAGAAACAACAACAACATGAATTTGTTGTCTTAGGGTTTTAGAAGTCAGAATTCTAAAATGGGTCCATAGGGCTGCATTCCCTCTGGAGGCCTCGGGGGAGAATTCATTCCTTGCCTTTCCAGCTTCTAGAGGTTCCCTGCATTCAAAGAAGGCCCCTGTCAGTGGGAAAATAATATCGACTGTGTTTCATTGCCAAAAGGATTTATTAGGGAAAAAAGAAAAAGGTTGCAACCAAGTGCTTACAGATATGGCAATCCATATGCATACAGAGCAAGGTGTACCAAGATAGAGAAATAGCCTTGGCCAGTTTGGCTCAGCGGTTAGAGCATCGGCCTGCGGTCCAGAGAGACCCGGGTTCGGTTCCCGCTAAGGGTGCGTACCTCGGTTGCAGTTTGTCCCCGGCCCTGGTTGGTCATGCGGGTGGCAGTCACTCAATGTGTCCCTTTCACGTCGATGTTTCTCTCTCTCTCTCTCTCTCCCTCTCTGTCTCTCTCTCTTCCTCTCTCTCCCTCCCACTCTATTTGTTTTTTTTTTAATCCTCATCCGAGGACATTTTTCCATTTTTTGTACAGACAGAGTGGGAGGGAGAGAGAGGAAGAGAGAGAGAAGGAAACATCGATGTGAAAGGGACACATCGAGTGGCTGCCACCCGCACGACCAACCAGGGCCGGGGACAAACTGCAACCGAGGTACGCACCCTTAGCGGGAACCGAACCCGGGCCTCTCCGGACCGCAGGCGGACGCTCTAACCGCTGAGCCAAACCGGCCAGGGCCCTCCCACTCTATTTGAACAAAAAAATGGAAAAATGTCCTCAGGTGAGGATAAAAAACAAACAAAAAATATAGAGAAATATATATAGAAACAAAAAGAAAGTTAAGGGAAGGGACAGTTACAACCACAGAGCTTTACTATAAGCAAGATTTCTTCCTGTAGGATGACATAGAGTGTAAGAACTCCTCCCATAAGCCATAGCTCCTCCCATAGACCCAAGTTAGCTTAGATTCTCAGTCATAATCTTCATGACCTCTTTCTCCATCTTCAAAATCAGCAGCCTAGCATCTAGCTTACCCAGACATCTTTGTTTATTACTTTTATCCCCCCTGTATTATTTTCCTATTACTGCTACAAGTTACCACAAACTTAGTGGCTTAAAACTAAATGTAGCCCTGGCTGGTTTGGCTTAGTGGTCGGAGCGTCCGCCTGCGGACTGAAGAGTCTTGGGTTCAGTTCTGGTCAAGGGCACGTACCTCCATTGCGGTTTGTCCCGGGCCCTGGTTGGGGTCATTCGGGAGGCGGCCAATCGGTGTGTCTCTCTCACATCCATCTTTCTCTCTTTTTCTCTTCTCCCTCCTACTCTGTCTGAGATTGAATGGAGGAACATCCTTGGGTGAGGATTTAAAAAACAACAACTAAATGTAGCCAAATGTCAATTCTTTCAAAACAACTTACATCTTTCTTCCCCAAACTTCATGTATAAAAGAACCCATGAACTCCAGGACAGCAAATGCGTTTGTCTCTTCCCTCTAGCCCTCTGCTGTTGGTGGTTCCGATTGCATGTCCCAGGACCTGGTCCTTTTCTGGCTAGTATTTGGCTCAATGATCTCGTTCTTTCAGAAAAGCTTTCAGCCATGAAAGTTTTGATTTAACACTGTATACTTGTCTGTTCTAACAAGTAATAAAAATTAAAACAATCTATTATTCACGCAAATGCTAAAGAACCCACATGGCCTTCAAACAGGAGATGCTCTAAGATAAATGAATTCATTTACATCGGTGCTTCATCATCTGCACAAGCTGTGACTCATAGTCCTCCGGCAATCATGAGACAACACATTCATGCGACATTAATATCCCTGAACAGTGGGGGATAACTGGAGCACAGAGTGCTGCGTTAAAATGGAAAAGAGGAGTTTTGTTAGGAACTCTTTCAGCAGGGAATAAGTACTGATGTGGGCACTGAGTTTCAATTTACAATGAAGGATTACATTAAAAATACATTAAAATGATTACAACAAAGCTTATTATAGCCATTACTATTTCTTTATATTTAAATGAATCAAGGTTTAATAAGAACCACCAAGTGGGCCACAGTGTCTAAAATCTAACTTCACTTGCTAATCCTGGAATGTCTACTGACAAAAAGGCTACAGCTCCAGGACCAACAGGTCTG